CCTAATGTCCAACCTAGACCTCCCTTGCTGCAGTTTAAGCCCATTGCTTCTTGTTCTATCCTTAGAGGCTAAGGTGAACAAGTTTTCTCCCTCCTCCTTATGACACCCTTTTAGATACCTGAAAACTGCTATCATGTCCCCTCTCAGGATCAAACCTAATGGTTGTTTTCCCCATTCCCTGTGAGTGAAATTAACCCAGCACAGAGGGACCATGCCAAGCACTACCACAATACAAATAATTAAGAACAGAAAATGGGAAAGTAACTCTAACAGCCTGATCCACAGCCTACTGAAATTAGTGGAAAGATTCCCCTTCATGTTTTTTGGATCACCCCCAAAGCCCTGATTCAGCAAAGCACTTAAGCATGTAACACTGAAGTCAGTGGGTCTACTTAAAGTTAAGCATGTGCTTAAGTGCTTTTGGTGAATCACAGCCTACATGAGATAGAAATCACCTGGCAGAATACATTCTTACCATGCTGAAAATGCTGTCAGAACATCCCTCGTGCTCAGATTTGATTCTATCCCACAGCAAAACTATTAAGAGGCATGGACCTGATCCAAAGCCCACTGAAGTCAATAGAAGTCTTTCCATTGACTTCAGTGGGATTTGGGTCATGCCCCATCAGAGGAAATGTAGTCAATTTCACATTTACAGAGCTAGGGACAGGGAAAACCCTGTACTAAATTGTCCAAGAGATAAAAGTGACATTCTTACATTAGATCGAGAGAGGTGGTTTCTTCAAAATAGAATATAGTAATTGAATCTATTGTTTTAAAGATAAGCTGCATTTTCTACTGCAGTGTTTGTATAATTAATTATCAAATTTCTAATTTATAAACAGCATCAATAAGAGTAAACTAGCAATCTAGATCCCTACAAATCCCCAAGCCAGAATCTTATCAGTTTCAAGCTTTAATTCGTTCTTATTGAGGAGATTTCACTAAAAGGACCTCATATTACAGCAAACACAACACAATACATCAAGCAAATAAAGGCATGTGCTCAGTGCTGCCGCAAAACAGGACAACTATTTATTTAGCACAGCAAGTTCATTCGTTAGCCTTTTGCCTCATGACAAATTGGGTTTCAATCTGCCGTAGGTTCCAACCGAGAGATAATTTGCTCTTCTCAGTCTAGTTCTCACTGGACTTTTGTGCTCAACAGGAAACCACCATGCAGTGCAGCACAAAGGTATAACAGGCAGCATCTGCTAAAAGGGGTAGTTGCAAGTCAGGACTGGAGGGCATAGAAACCCTGTGTGTTTAGGAAGCTTGCATGGCACCTCCTTGTGATATACCAGACTCAAACCAGCACTAGTTCCACTACAACACAATACAACACATTCCAAAATACTTTAAAAGAGGAAGTATCTTTTTAAAAGCAAGTAGCCCACGTGACTATTTGGGGAACATGGGGAGACAGTAATTTTTAGCTTGTAGCACAATGGGGATGCTATACATTCAGGAGTTTCCTAGCCAGACATTCTCTTAGTGGTAAGAAACCATGACCAAAAATGTTGCTTAAGGCATTGCATGGCAGAATGCAAATGGTACAAAAAAGAAAACATGGACACTTTGTGTGAATGCAGGTGCACAAATAAAGGGTTGTCTCAATGTTTTTCTTTACAAAAAATATGGGGTGTGTGGCTTTACAAAGACTGCAGTAAACTGTAATATATACATGTAATATTCTTCAAGAAGGTGGTGGGGTTGTACACATCCACACAAAAAATGGGTGTTTTCAGACCAGCAAATGAGCTGGGTTCTGGAGAATGAGTCATGGACAGTGGACAACAGTACCGAGAAATTACAGTAAGTGAATGATTCCCTTATAGACCTAACCTATTTCTTCACGGCCATAAATATGATTGAGGGCAAGGTTATTTTTCATGGTGACTATTTTCTTGTCCTGCCACCGTCACCATCTCCCATGTCTCAATAACCTCTCTGGCATATTTCAGGAGGAAATTATTGGCTTAGAACTAGAGATGGGCCTATCCAAATCACATATCTTAATGCTTTGGGGAATAGTTCGGATCTGGATGGAAGTTTTGCAGCTCAGGCCCCTCCCAACTCAGAACTTTTTTTCTCAGTTTTCCAAAAATTAATGCAGTCAAATTAAAATACTTTTAAAAGGAGAGAGAGAGGCTCCTGTGAAGCATCCAATGTTTCCTTTTCCTCCTTAAATGTCTGTCTACCCTGGTTAGTTCAGAGCAGAAAGGAGCTAGATCTGTGATTTTTATCACACACTCCATTGGAAAACACATCTGCCAGAACTAAATGGGAGGGCAACAAATAGGGAAACATCTCTTGAATTAATTTACACTTGAAACTAGAAATCAAATCTCTGCTTCATAAGTTCCAGGAATCACCAGCCCTGCATTGGCAGGAGACAGGCTAGACAATTATGATGACCTCTTCTCCATCTCAGATGCCTATACTTTGCACTTTCCCATCTTCACCCTATCCTCATCCCAGCTTACAATAATAAATTTACATCTCAGCATCTGCAAAACATCATGGGGACAAATTAGCTCCTCAACAAGGAAAGGTTATTAAAGACACAACCAGCCAAACAACCTTCTGGATAAATAACAACAAGGAATCCCCCATGATGTAGCTAGTCTATTCTTACTAAGGTTTTCCCAGAGCCTTCTCAGTACAGGAGGGATTGTATTACAAGGTGAAGTTACAAGTCCTGTCCATAATACAGGTGAAACAGTGCTAGCACCTATCAAGTTTAAGCATGGTGGTTGTTAGCACTTGTTTCAACAATGGGGCAAACCTGATCATATTGCATCAGTCTGTGCAATGGAAAAGAACATATGCAGGTTAAAACTCAGAAACACACAATAGTTTGGAAACCAGGAGATAGAATTTTATACCCAAAGAGGCCGCATACATCTGGGAATATTTTAAGAGCCTTGTAGAAAAAATGGTGAAAAATCTAACTGCAGGAATAGAAGGGAATTTGTAAAGAAGCTGTGCCCAAATATTCTGATGAGCCACATGCACTAAGTAGGCCAAATTCTTCAAGGACTCTGAGTTAGAAATATAGGAATTGCCAGACTGGATCAGATATGTGGTCCATCCAGTCCAGTATCCTGTCAACCACCAGTGGCCGATACTAGATGTGTCAGTGGAAGATGCAAGAAATCTGGGGTAAGAAACTAAGAGACTTGGCATAATTGACGCTTCATCCAGCCCTTATACTGGTTTATACTCCCAGGTGCTCAGGCTCCCTTCCAGACATGTAACTTACACCCCACCTTCTACATTCCCTCTGAATTTGGACCGGTTTCTCTGGCTTTTGTACAGTGTCTTTGCCAATCATCGCTGCAAAACTGTGACACTCCTGTGTACCACTCACCGGTTAGCAGGTACTACTGCTGAGCTCCAATGACTCTTTGGGTGATTCGGTTTCAATTCTGGCTCCATTTAAAACAAAACATTGGCTAAAGAATCCTTTCTATACTATAGCAGCAGCAGCAAATGCGGGTCGTAATGGAAGTTCTGAGTCTGGAAAGGTCACTCATCCCTCAGTGTCTCATCTTCTCAATGTAGTAAATGGAGCCTCCATCTATCCTCTCCCTTACTTTTCCCTTCCTACCCACGGTCTGGTTTTATATCTCACCCCTTCCTCCCACCCCCCTCCCCCACCCCAGCAAAGAAACCAGGCTGTTTCCAAGTTTGGGGAAATTGTTTCCACTTTCAAGACATGGATGTTTCACATTTTCCTGGTAGACTCAAATTAGGGGGTAGAAGATCTCTCCAAGCACCATCTGTTTTCATCACTTTTGCACATGGTTTTCCCAGCATAAAGGGGTTCATGTATGTCATTCCCATAGTGCTTCATGTGCTGCTTGCCCTTAAAGCCTAGTTCTTGTCTGCCTTTTCTTCTACCACACGCAAGGAGAGATCAACCTTTGATGGAAAAGCACCAGGATTAAGGGCCTGAGCCAAAGCCCACTGAAGTCAATGGAAAAACTCCAACGGACATCAGTGCAGTTTGGATTGAGCCTTTAGTGCACTACTGAGGCCACTTCAAGTTTATCAGAAACTGTGTCCAAAACAGTCTATCACCCTCTAGGGCAGGAATGCCCAAACTGTCCCAATGGTCTTATCTGCATTGGCAAATGGCTGGGTGCCTGGGGCTGCCCCCAATATACATAACATGGAGCAGGTTGAAACTGTCCTCTGTATGACTAAAGAGGGGATGGGACTCCAAGCCTTGTATCTTGTCTCCATGGGCTGCAAACTGCATGTAGAGCTCAGTGAGACATATTTGCCCCTTGAGCTTCACTGTAGCTATTGGCTTGCAGCTCAGACAGAGAAAAGGTTCTATAATGCCATGTGATCCACACTCTTCTATATCACACAGTCAGCTCACCTCCAGCTATGGGTTACTCCTGTCTTGTCTGTTTGTTTTTAAAGGTTGGGTGATAAGCATTAGGAACATAATGTACCTATTAGGCCGTAAGCTCGGAGCTGCCTTCTTACATGTCTGCAAAGCGCCCAGCACAAGTTGGGGTACGATATTAATAATAAACCACAATAATTGATGAACTGGGTCTTAGTACTATTCCCTTTCCTCTTCTCTACCACAACCCAATTAAAAAACATCAAAATAAATAGAGCAGGGACTCAGGATGGGATGTAGAACACCTCTGCTTGGAAATGCTGGGACTACGGGAAAGTGGGGAGTCTCCTGGGGAGTCTCCTGGGGAGGAGCGTGGGGGAGGGGACACCAGCATTTACACTGATCAGAAGAAGCTGTAATCTATACACAGTTGTACAAGCCAAGTTATATTACACGAAAGCACATATTGAGTGCATGGAGTACCCATACTGGTCAAACTGGCACGGCTCCTTTGGAACAAGACTTTTGGAGTAGTTGTTGGTGCTGTAGTTACCCTATCTAGTGCTCTCTCTATATATGTATAGATATGTATAGAATTTACTGCATGCATGTGTTTCAAAAGGAACTGTACAGTTGATTATATTTCTCTCCCCCAACCCTTTCTCGGTCTTCATTTTTTCCGGGCTAGGAACGCCACTCCCAGAATTACAGCAATGGCAGCCATCACCACACCTCCAACAATGGCCAATGGCTTCACGTTATCGAAGACGCTGCCTGAGGATTCCTCCGCGCCGTTTCCCTTGTGCTCAGAGTCAGGGGACTGGCCGGTGGCCTCTTGCACCTCCGGGGCTGCAGGGCTGGGTTTCAGATTGCTGTGGTTATTCAGTGCAGCAGCCTCGCTGGCTGCCTTCTTCGTTGTGGCCACAGGGGTGGGCTGCTCCTTGGAGGGGGTTTCCTTCTTGTCTGCATTCATAGCAGGCCCGGGGTTGGGCTTCTCCTGCTTTCCAGAGCTGGCGGCCTTGGCATCAGGTTTGCTTCCGCTTCGGGTGCTTCCTTTAGATTCCATTCCTATGAGTGCTGTCGGAGGGGAGTGACCTGACCTTCACAGGGCCAACTCTCAGGATATTACTACTAGCTATATGTACCCACGTTGCTTTCACCTGGTGTAGGCAGGCTGATAGATCGACCTCAAATGGATCCCCTTGTAGCAGTCGTCCCAGCAACCTTCTCACTCAGCCAATACTTCACCAGGACACGATACAGAACCTGGAAGAACAGACAGAAAATGAGAGGTGAGCGAGGAGGATGCACAGAGTGCTAGATACAAGAGCCACTGAGAGCACATTTTACAGTCAGAACCACTCTACTTGTAGGTTGCGGTGAAACTGTAGACAAGTTGTATAGATTGGGGCAGTGATTTCCTGGGGGCTTTGAAGGATTAGATTTTTATCAGTAAAGGTCAATAAACACTGATTGCACCACATACATACACACAGACTACAAAAATATTTCCATTGATAATAATAGAATTTTACAGATAGGCAAAGGAAGAAAAATGCTAGGTGATGACTTATTGTTCTCAAGGAGGAGGGAGAAAAATTGTTCTCAACCTCTGAGGATAGAAGCAATGGGCTTAAATTGCAGCAGGGGCAGCTTAGATTGGACTTTAGGAAAAACTTCCTGCTAGGGTGGTTAAGCACTGGAATAAATTGCCTACAGAGGTTGTGGAATCTCCACCATTGGAGGTTTTTAAGAGCAGGTTAGACAAACACCTGTCAGGGATGGTGTAGATAATAGTTAGTCCTGCCAGGAAAAAAAACAACCAACCAAAAAACCCCCTACATCCATGAGTAGGGCCCTACCAAATTCACCATCCATTTTGGTCAATGTCACGGTCATAGGATTTTAAAAACAGTAAATTTCATGATTTCAGCTATTTAAATCTGAAATTTCATGGTTTTGTAATTGTAGGGGTCCTGACCCAAAAAGGGGCGTTGGTGGTTGTAAGTGTATTGGGGGAGGGGGTGTTGTGGTACTTCTACCCTTACTTCTGCGCTGCTGTTGGCGGCGGCGCTACCTTCAGAGCTGGGCAGCTGGAGAGCGGCGGCTGCTGGCCAGGAGCACAGCTCAGAAGGCAGAGCTGCCACCAGCAGCATCGCAGAAGTAAGGATGGTCCGGTACAGTATTACCACCCTTACTTCTGTGCTGCTGCCTGCAGAACTGGGCCCTCAGTCAGCAGCTGCCACTCTCCGGTTGCCCAGCTCTGAAGGCAGCAGAGCAGAATTAAGGGTGGCACGGTATGGTATTGCCGCCCTTACTTCTGCGCTGCTGCTGGTGGGACACTGCCTTCAGAGCTGGGCACCCAGCCACCAGCCACCGCTCTCTGGCCGCCCAGCTCTGAAGGCAGCACAGAGGGAAGGGTGGCAATACCATGACCCCCTAAAATAACCTTGCGACCCCCTGCAACTCCCTTTTGGGTCAGGATCTCCAATTTGAGAAACGCTGGTCTCTCCCGTGAAATCTGTATAGTATAGGGTAAAAGCACACAAACAACCAGATTTCACGGTCAGTGATGTGTTTTTCATGGCCATGAATTTGGTGGAGCCCTACCCATAAATGACAAGTGGACAGAGCACGAGACGGATCAATGGGGACTCAGGCTGGTGCTACAGCTTCCATGTGATGGAAGGAACAGAGAAGCTGCTGCCAGCCAGCTCTCTGCCAGAGCTGCAGTGATGATGCATGGTGTCAGTGATGCGTCTGGGAAATAATGAGTAAACAGGAGGCAGCCGTCAGACCTGAGCAGCCTTCTTCATTATCTCCCCGCTGACCTTCAGCGCTTCCAGGGTCCTGTGGAGAGCTTTCTGCCAGCTAAGTGAAATATGAGCTTATTAACACAGGCAGCTTAGAAGAGGAGGCTCGTATGGAAACCTCCCCAGCCAGAGGGCTTCGTTTGTCACACTTTTGTTCTGAGATGACCCACCGAGTTCAAAAATCTCATCAATGATGGTGTGTGGGAGAGTTAAAAACCCTCTAATTCTCCTGTTTATAAGGGGCTGCAGCAAGTGGTGACATTTCTGTGCAATGTGCTTCCCCCTCTGTGGGAAACATTTAGAATAATTAGCACTTTACACCCTCCCACAAAGTGAGGCTGGGTTCGAATAAAGCTACATAGATGGGTGCAGGGGCTGGACTCATCAAAGGGAAATAAGCCAACTACTTGTCACCTGGTTTTAGGTAGAAACCTCCTATTCCACAGCTGTCCACTATGCAGTTTCTTGTGTGGTGGCCAACATTTTGCCCAACACCGGACATTGAACCAGGCACCTCCCTGGGTGCCTGGGTCTCTGTAGCTTGAGTTCCATAACTGGCACACATTCTCAGTGGATCAGGTACAGAGTGGGAGGCGTAACACCAACCGCTTACATGCTTCTTCCAGAGAGAAGCAGCTTCTCCTGTGCAACCAAAGCCCACTGAGCTTCTCAAATCCCAGACAGCCGTCATCTTGGCCAACACCAGGGACTGAACCAGGGCGCTCCGGAGCTGAAAGCAGAAGTCTACAGCTTGAGCTAAAAAGCAAACTTCTCAAGCGGAAGGCTGTAATAGACCCATATCCTCTGTGGATCAGGCACGGAGGGGGACACATAATATACACTGACCAGTGGGGTCAAACTTTCACCAACCTCTGAAGTATTTGGTACTGGCCGCTGTGAGAGACATATGAATATAGGAATTGCCATACCGGTGCTCCATCTAAATCCAGTATCCTGTTTCTGATATGGCAAGTACCAGCTACTGCAGAGGAAGGTGCAAGAGACCCTAAAATGGCCAGTAATAGAATAAATTGTCCATAAAAGAAATTTCTTCCTGTCCCCCTAAATTAGAGGTTGGTTTATGCCCTAGAACATGAGGGCCTGTATCCCTTCCATTTCCCCCCTCTTTTTCATAATCCTTACTCTGGATATTCTTGTTATCTGTATACATTTTTGAATCCTGCTAAGCTCATGAGCTCAATGATGTCCTGTGGTAATGAGTTCCACAGTCTAATTCTGCATTGTGGAAAAAAAAAAGTATTTCCTTTTATCATTTGCTGCCTTTTTAGTTTCACCAAATGTCCAAGATGCCAGTCTAGATGGACCACTGCTCTGGTCCTGCAATTCCTGTGTTCTTATAGCAGGCTGAATCAACCCCACAAAAAACTTTGGGCTGTTTAAGGTCTGGATCTGAATGCAGATCCAAATTCTGAGGTCTGAGTCCATCTCTAACCATAGTGCAAACAAACAAATACCATGGAGGTAGCTAAAAACACAACACCAAGAATGTAGCATCAACACAAGTGCCATTTCTGAAGTGAATTCAGTGCACTATGAAAGGTGCCAGAGTGACGGCCCTGGAGTCGGACATTTGTTTTTCCAAGGAATTAGTACAGCACAGCAATGTTATCTTCCCCCAGCCTGCCCTGCCTCAGTTCTGATCTACAAGGGTCAGCACAGCTGGTGTGTATGTAATGCAGGCTTCCTGCAAATTCAATCGTGAGGCCCTGCTAAGGCTCTTAGCCATGCTGTGGACACCAGGCCTACAGGAACCAGAGTGAAACCCCCAAACTCACTTCATTTAAAGTCAACAAACAGTCATGAGATGGTACAATTGTTGGCCACGGCCACTCTGCTGATTTCCACACTGGTGGTGATAGAGAAGTGAAAGGCTCCATATGCTGCTGCCAGCCTTCACAACCATTCTGGCCATGTTCAGAATAATTGGTGTTCTTCTATTAATTTCCCAACCCTCTCTAGTCCCAGGCTCCTTAATCAAGGAAGAAAACGCAATAATCTTTCAGTGTAGATCAAATCCAGCTACCAAACTGGAGTAACAGGTATATATGGGCCAGATCCTTGCCTGGTGTCAATTGGCATAGTTCCTCTAACCATAATTGCTCTGCACAGATTGACATTGTCGGAGGATCTAGCCCACAGTATTAAAAGTTGTTCCAGACACAAAATGAGCAAATGATTATCACTCGTACTATTGAAAATATAAAAGTTAAGATTTCCACTCCGAACTCAAAAGGCCCGAACCACTCACCTGGTGCACCCCGCCGGAGATGGATTGGAAAACCAGGACCTCAAAGCCTTGCAAATGTTTTTGCAGAACAGAATTGTGTTGAAGTGACTAATTTGGATTGAAAAGCTCAGTTTTTCAGTTCGGGTCTCTCTCTCTCTGTGACCAGAGAGCCCTGGAATTCAGGAACCTCTGGTCAAAAACAATGCTGAAATCTGTACGTTTCCATGACACATTTTGGCTTTGACAGAACAGCATATTTCAACAAAAAGACACTCAGTTAGAAATGTTCTAAGCAGCTGCACTCATGACAAAGAGAGAAAACTCCTGTTGGAAAACCAGCACATGTGGAATGACTAGTGCCAAGGGACATGGCTATGTGATGGTTTCAGTCAACACAGTCATCTCACTAGAGCCATTTGGAATCTCTCCACTCTTACATTTTAAGAAAGAAGAAGGTCATTCATTTGACAATGTTTGAAAAGTATCATGAGGCTGACTGGACTGAGACTCAGGAGATCTGGATTCAGTCCCCAGCTCTGCCCCTGATTCCCTGTGTGACCTGGGGTAAATCACTTAATCTCTGTACCTCAGTGCCCCGTCTATCCTGTCTCCCACCCTTTGTCTGTCTTGTCTTTGTAGACTGTAATCTCTTGGGAGTAGTATCTGAGTCTCACTAAGGCCTAGTACAATGGGCCCCTGACCTCAGCTGGACCCTGGAGGCATTAGTGTAATATAAATAATATGAATAAAATATTCATTCCTGTCGCCCTCTCCTTGACTAATGCAACCTGCAGACGTTTTTCACTCTGTCTTCATGTGCTAGAAGGCCCACATCACAGAACTGCCCTGTGTCATTTCAGGCCTTGAGCTCAGCTGGATGAGTGGAGCAGCCCGGAGATTGAAATGCCCTTTATCCCTGAAGAGGGCAGGCACCCCAGGTGATTGCTGCGGCAAAGCTGACAGGGTAGTTTGTAAAGGAGTCAGTTGCGTATTCACTTACAGGCACCTGCGCTGCCCTTCTGTCTCCCAGCCCAGAACACCAGCCCTCAAGGGTGCTGAAGAGCAGTGCTCCTCTCGCCAGCAAAGAATTTAACCCCCCTTTTTCTAATGCTCTCTAACCTTCTGGGTTGCAGGCTCCCTGCCATCCTTTCAGCTGGCTTAAACCCTCTCTGAATCCTTCCAACTAGCTTTCTCGCCTCCTCTTT